ATTAAATCCTGTTTGGTTTCCCTGTCCAGTCTCAGGAGTCAGGAATAAGACTGAAAGGTCAAAGGGACTTTGCTGGTGGTCCGGTAGTTAAGACTTTGCGCTCTTCCAACACAGGGGACAGGTTCAATCCCTGGTGGGGGAACTAAGATCCCATGTGCCGTGTGTCAGAACCAAAAAAAAAAGACTGAAAGGTCATGATCAATTCCGGAGCTTCTGACACCACCCACATGTATGAGCCTGACTTATTCTCTGTATCACATGGCTGTCAAGTGTTAAACCATCTAATGAGTCATTACTAAGCAGATACTGTGGACACGACGGTGAGGCAGAAAGACGGTGTCCCGTCTCCAGGCACAGAGTGGGTGTGTATCGTTTCAGGCAGAAGCATAGAGCGGGGTGTGGGAGGCAGGGCCTTCCTCATTTCAGAGCCGGGAGGGCAGCAGCTTCACAGAGGAGGGTTGAGTCAGTCAGACCTGTCCAACTTTTCAAAGCCTTCTGGCTGATCCAGGGATGCCCTCCTCCCTGCCCCCCGACCCCCGAGCCCCAGAGAACACACTAACATCCTCCCCACCACCTCCTAAGGTGTGCATCCTCTCCACCTCGGCCTGGCTCAGCTTCCTGAACCCAGGGGGCCTGTTCTGCACCACACCGCCTTCTGCTGCTGCAACAGCAGTGCAGACGATGACAGTGACAGCCGCTGGGTCCTCCAGGCGGGAAGGACGGTGGTGCACAGCCAGGCGATAAACTATACACATAGCACATGGCAGGGCTAATTAGCTGCTAAGGGGGCTTCATCAATGTTTACTCGGGACGTGTCATGGCACCCCAAGGAGCAGTCCCCACTGGCCTGCGTGGAGGAGAGTGGATGTCTCTCTGCTGTCAGCCCTGGCTGCCTTTGGAGGTGGGGATGTGGCTGGGCAACACACAGGTAATGCCCATCAGTGCTGTCTGTGTAGGACTTTAACTGAGACTGAAAGAAGGGGAACAGACTGGGAGGAAACGCGGCAGGGCTCTGAGTGGAGGAAGACAGATGTGTGCACATAAACACACCTGTTCCGGGGAGTCCAAGGCGGGGACCAGCTAAGCTAGGTAACTAGAATGAAAATGGAAGATGCTATTGTGTCAGTCACAGAAAGCAAAATCTTTGGCAAGTCAACCAGTCTCTCTGGGCCAAAGTGTCCTGTCAAACAAAAGGAATGGTTTTGCAGGAGATACGCCCAGGAAAGCAGCCCAGGGAGGAGCACGGGGCCTTTTCAACTGAGCTCAAAGAGCTCTTTTTCAACTGGGACCATTTAAACCCCCTGGGACACTTGGCAACATCGGGAGCTATTTTTGGTGGTCTCACCTGAAGGGGGCTGTAGCTCCCCTGGTGACTCAGACAGTAAAGAGTCCGCCTGCACTGCGGGAGACCTGGGTTCAATCCCTGGGTTGGGACGATCCCCTGGAGGAGGTCATGGTAACCCACTCCAGTATTCTTGCCTAGAGAATTCCATGGACAGAGGGGCCCGGCGGGCTACAGTCCACTGGGTCGCAAAGAGCTGGACACGACTGAGTGACTAAAACACACTTCCGTTGTGAAGGTGCTTCTGGTAGTCAGTAGGGGAAGGCTGGGGTTGCTGCTAGGCATTCTACCGCATGTAGGACAGACCCTCTCCCAACAGAGAATTCAGGGTCTCAGGTGTCACTGGTGTTGAAGGCAGGAAGCCCTACAGCTGGAGGACAGACTTGGATCTGCGGTGCTGTAGGACCGTGAACAGTGTCCTCCTGGTCTGAAGAACAGAAGCGGTTAAGAGCTGAGTTGCTTATCACACAACTTTGTGAGGCTCAGTCTCCAGAACGGGAGGCTCCAGGCTTTGTGAGGCTCCAGACTCAGAATGGGAAAACTTCCTGTTCACTTTGGAAAGGGCCTTTCCCTGAACTTTTTCTTGTTTGAAACCTGCGGGTATGGGACTTCCCTGGTGGTTCAATGGCCAAGACTCTGCCATCCCAATACAGGGGGCTGGGGTTTGATCCCTGGTCAGGGAACTAGATGCTACACTGCAACTGAAGATCCTGCGGGGGGGGGGGGCGGGCGGTGCGGGGAATTCCTGCGTGCTGCAACCAAGACCTGGCACAGCCAAATAAGTAAATAAATATAAAAAAGAAAGAACGAGACCTTCGGGTAACTGAAGCACCTAGCACAGTGACTGGCATATAGGAGGTGTTCATAAGTTAAAAAGAGAAAAAAAAAGTCACAGCAAAAAGAAAAAATAGCCCCCACCCCACTTCTGGTCTGATTTCCTCCCTATCTCAAGGCTGCCTTCTTGGTCTAGCCTTTCTTTCTCTTAGGGTCCATACAGGCACAGAGTAGCTCTGTTGGCTGAGGCCATCTCAAAAGCACCTGTGAAGGATCAGGGCTAACCAGATCCCGAGGATGGCTGACAAGGGAGACTGGGAAGTTTTGCAAAATGTCAAGGGAAAGCCCCCCACCCCCAACCCCCATGCAGGAGTCCTGCCTTCTCGCTCCAACAGGGTGAGGTCGCAGACATCAAGGGCTTCTGCTCCTCCGAGGTCAGTCTCTCAGGGGGCTGTGCTGGTTGGTGGCACTGTCTACAGAGGCCGCACTCTGAGAGTGGGCAGCTTGGCGACCGGGGTGAGGTGGGGGCCGAGAAGCCAGGCCCCGCACCCAGAGCACTGTTTCTTCCCCATTCCTCCCAGAGCCCTACTGACGTCACCAGCCTTCTGGAAGCTGCTGCGGAGGGACCAAGGGCATGATCCATCCTTGAACTTGCCGTCCAACTGGGAAGGCCAGATGTCCCCCTGAGATTTGATGACAGAGGGAATATTTCACCAAGTGTGTGCAAGTGCTGGAACCGAGAAGCTGAGAGGCAGAACAGAGGGGCTGAAGCTCAGGCAGACAAGCTGCTTTGAGGACTGCAGGGTCCTCAGCCATGAGGCCGGCTCGCCCGAACCTCTGTAAGGACGGGGAGCGGTGTCCTGTCACAGGCCAGCGTTCTTCCTGGGACACTGTGCTGTGTCCTCCTCAATGTGTGGTCTCCCACCCCGCTTGGCTTCTCTGAAGAGAGTGAGAACCACCCTGGGCTGGCTAAGCGAGAAGCCAGGGCAGGATGGACGGCCTGGCTCAAGATTGCAGAGACTTGGGACCTCCAGTCTGGAGCCTCCTGCATGTCAGTGGAGGGAAGGGAACTAGGCCTCCTTAGGGTGGGAGACAGGAAAAAGATTTGGTGGGCTTACTTCTTCTTCTAGGGGAGGCACAGGCAGCCCTTGGCACAATCACTTAGGAGCTGGTCCCTTCCTCTGGCCTCCAGAGGTGTCCACTCTGCCCACCAAGGGCGCTCTCTCCACACAGACACCTTGAGCTGAGGAGTGGCCCCCCCTCCCACCTTGTTTGCCACCTCCCAGCTCCTTTCCCCTCTAGAACAAGCAGGGCCACATCGCCAGGCCTTGGTGCATAAGGAAATAGTTCCCAGGGAGTGTTTAATCCTCACACAAGCTCAGGGAGTTGGGCCGGGGGGTGGGTCAGGTCCCTCAGCCCCCTACCCCCTTTGGGAACCAGGTCCTCCCTTCCTTCCCCTGCCCTCCTCCCGCCCACCTGGGAGGCCAGGCTCTGCTGGAGGATGCTCGGGGCTCCCCTGCTCCCACTGAAACCAAATGCAGGTGTTTGCACCACCTGAGCATGTGGCCCCTCCCCAGGGTGCTGCTGGTGCCCAGGGTTTTGCAGAAGGAAAGAGGCAAGGACGAGAGTTTGGCTCAGAAGGTAGGAGGCTGGGAGAGGCTGAGCTTGGTGCTTTCGCAGTTGCCGTAGCCCTGAGCTCTCCAGGGCCCCCAGCAACCCAGCCAGAAGCGGGGGCAGGCCTCAGCCCCTGTGGTCCAGCAGTTTCCCTGCTGTCCACTCACCAGCTCTCTCCGCAGATCTGCTCTGTCACACATATGAAGAGGGGGAAGTGTGCGATTTTTAGCTGGTCTTCCTGGCCTGACATCATGGCATTTAGGCCCGGGCCCTTAGAAGCCAGGGCGGCTGAGGCGCCTCGGTACAGTCCGGCTTTGGCAGGAGGTCAAGGCTGGTCTTTGGCCAACGTGTAACTAGAGAAGGCATGCACATCCTGGCTGGTGAGGGGGACCGAGGGCCAGCCCTGGGTCCTAGGGTGGAGGGAAGGCAAACACTCCTGAAGATGGGGCCCAGCCTCCCACCCCACCAGAGCATCGGCCAGGGTCTCCCTGCTTTGGAGCTGCAGATCAAGGCACAAAAGGGGCGGGGGGGCTCAGGTAAAGGCACTTGGGGAAGCACCACATCGGCTTGCAGCAGCCAAGGAGACCTGGACCATTCAGGATGGTGCTGGGGAGGGAAAGGAGACCCCAGCACCAGGGCTCTCAAAATGTCAGGGTCAAATTTTGCCCTCGATCCACACAGAGTCTAGAGTAGGAGCCTGCAGAGACAGGCCAGGAAGGCCACAGTCCCCAGCCCCCAGCCATCCTCACTGAGTCTCCCACCTCGAGTTCAGAAGCTCAAGTGAGAAGAAGCTTGGGTTCCTGGCTCAGAGCCCTGTCCTCGTCCCTTCTATTCCACCAGACCTCTTGGGGAACCAGCAGCACCAGGAAGCCCAGGGAAGGAGAGACCAGGGGACTGGAGCTGCCCCAGAGACCCCATCACATTCAGGTATAAAGATGTAGGCTCACCCCACCTGGGGGCCTGCAGGGCGAGGCTGGCTCAGGGGAGGCAGCGGGCTGGGCATAAAGGAGAGCAGACACTAGTGAAGCTTCCACCTCATGTAAACAAGGGGTGAGCCCTGCCTGGCCACGACAGCCTTGTGGAGGCATGAGGTTGACTTGAGATGCTGCAGATCCTCACATCCAGGATACAGGGTCCCTGAGGCCAGGATGGAGGCTGCTGGGGTGGAAGGCCAATAGGGTCTGATGTGCAAACTGGCACAGGGTTTGAGCTGTGTCTCCAAAGGACAGGACGGGGGCGTCCATAGGTCCTCCGATAGCTGGCCTGCGGCTCAGGAGATCACGCAGTTGCTATTCTTGGCAGGACTGGGACTGCCTTTACCTGCAGAGACAAGGAACACAAGTGAGGGAAGTGTAGGTGAAGCACTCACTGGCCTGGCCTTCAGCACCTCTCCTATGCACCGACCACACTTCAAATTTGGGTGCTCGGGTCACTGTCTCCCTCCCAAGCTGCTGAAACCAGCTCATAGGATCCTTAGGAAAGCAAAATGAAAGGTCCTGTCCTGATGGCCTTATCAAGACCACCTCTGGTTGGGACATCAAGGGATCTGCCATCTCTTGGCCTCAGTAGGGTGGTTTGTGCATGCGTGCTTAGTCGTGTCCAACTCTTTGTGACCCCATGGACTGCAGCCTGCCAGGCTCCTCTGTCCATAGCATTATCCAGGCAAGAATACTGGAGTAGATTACCATTTCCTACTCCAGGGGATCTTCCTGACCCAGGGATTGAACCTGCGTCTCCTAGGTTGGCAGGCAGGTTCTTCACTGTCGAGCCACTCTGGAAGCCCCAACAGGGGCTCTATGCAGCATCATAGCTCACAAGTGCAACCACAGTCACTTTCGCGAATCCTTGGGGCAGCACTGCTGGGATGGGATGTCCTCTGCCCGATGTGACAGTGGGAACAGTGGGGCCAGCAGCCCCCAGAGCTGGCAGCCTATGCCAGTGCCTGGCCTGCATGGTGGTGCAGACCCCAGGCTTAGGGGGCACAGGGAACCTTTCATCAGGAGGATAGAAGGGGGAGTGAGACACAGCTCTTCTCTTCCCAGGCCCCTTCCATGAGCTTCCACTGCCTTTACATCCCAGGCGGAGGCCGGCTGGGTTCCTGCCCTCTGAACAGCATCCCGTTGCCGCGAGGAGCCCTCCTGGGGTACTGACTGCCTCTGTCCTTTTTCCTCCAGTTTCTCTCCACACCGCCAGGGCCAGAGTCATCTCGCGGCGCTCACACCACCTTCCTGTATCACCTCAGCTGTGAATTTCACACAGGTGGCGTCGGCCTCTTCTCCTGGGCAGCTAGCAAGAATGACGCTGAAAAGGTCCGAGTAGAACCCTTCCCCTGTCCGGCCGGGTAGGACTCAGGCCTTGGGACTCTCTGAGTGTCCAGCTGAGCCTCCCTGGAGGCCATCCGAGAGCAGGTGGAGCACTGAGGAGGAGGGAGAGGAGCCAGACGACCATGCCCACGGGCCATGGCTCCAAGGGGCCCAGAGCTGGGTGGTCCTCCAGTCTCCATCCTCCTGGGGTGCTGAGGCTGACTCTAGGGCCCTCCGTGTCACAGAGTCCCCTCACTTTGTCCACTGCTGCACCAGGAACTGAGGACAATGTCTGGCACAGAGCAGACAGTGCACAGATATACATTTGCTGAAAACAATGAACAATCAGGCAAGCTACATACAGGTTCATGCCAATACTAACAGCAAGAGCAACCACAGTGGCATCAACGGATGGGGACCAAGTCACGTACGTGCCCTCACCCATGTAGAAGGTGACAGAAGCCCTGGCCGGGCCCAGAAGAAACCAGCAGGGCAGGAGATTCTGACAGCTGCCAACGAGACCAAGGACACCTGCTTCTTTGCTTCCCAGTGGGAGGATCCTCAATCAGCTCCCCTCATCTGTGCCATGTGACCGAGGAGGTCCTGGCTGGCAATGGTGCTCAGGTTTATGGAATTAAAGCGCAGTCTGAGAACATCAGCTGAGGCTTGACCTCAGGTTTGTTGTAGTTTAGTTGCTAAGTCGTATCTGACTCTTTGTGACGTCATAGACTGCAGCCCGCCACGCTCTTCTGTCCATGGCATTCTTCAGGCAAGAATACTGGAGTGGGTTGCCATTTCCTTTCCAGGGGATCTTTCCAACTCAGGGATTGAACTTGCGTCTCCTGCCTTGGCAGGCAGATTCTTTACCTCTGAGCCACAGGGGAAGCCCTCCTGAGCTCAGGTCTGACACTGAGTGTTAAAACTGCATCTTGACCAGACACCTGTTGAGGAGGCTCACCCTGGAACTGGAGGCCTGAGCCCTGAAGGAGCTCTGAACCCTGGCAGCATTTCCTGGGCCTTCCGTCCCACATAGGGGACCAGACTGCCACCCGGAAAGTGACACGGGGAAATCTGAAATCCGGGAGCCCAGCGAGCACAGCCCTAGGAGCCAGACCACCAGCCAGGGTGGCCCATTCACCACCATGAATCGGGGACCTGGGAGAGCTCTGGAAAGGCTCCTGTGGCTGCAGTCATGGCAGAGAACTCTGGGAATAAAATCCTGGGCTCTGGACTTCCCTGGTGGCCCACAGGTTAGTTAAAACTCTGTGCTTCCAGTGCAGGGGTTGTGGATTTGATCCCTGGTGGGGGAAACTGGGATCCCACATACTGTGCAGTGCAACAACCAAAAATAATAATAAATTTTAAAGCCTGGGCTCAGGGGCTCTTGGAAGAGGGTGACCCAGAGGCACTCTCCTCTTCCTCTGCACCCGTGGGCACTTGGGGGAGAGTCAGCCATGTGTCCAGGCCTCTGGCCCTTCCAAATAGCCCTTAAAGACAGAGGGAAGATGCCCACCCTAACCTTCCGGAGACCATGTGACACTCTGTGTAAGGCCCTGGGAGGCAGGAGACCTGCCGCCCTTTTCTCCTCCGTGACTGAGGACACCGGGCCTCGCCTCTCTGCACCTCTGGGGTCTCGTCTGTAAAACGGCGCCATCAGGCAGGGGGCCATGCGAGGGTGTTTAGCACTGTGTCCACCCAGCACACTCCAGGAAGTGTGTGGGTGGAAGGAAGCCTGTGCCTTCCTTCCTCCACTTACCCTGCTGTACAAAAGTGCTGGCCGTGTCCCAGGGACCTCTCCAGGGGGACGAAGGGTGGGGGCGCTTCAGGACACCCTCTGGAGCCTCCTCCCCCGACCCGGCAGCCCCCAAGGGCAGAGCCTTGTCACCGGATCTGCTGCTCCAAGGGCCCCTGCGTGGGACAACACTTGGGCGCTTGTTTAAAATGCAGATTTCTGAGCCCAGCCCCGTGGGACCGACTCCTCTCTCTTTTCACCAGGCTCTCCAGTGACTGCGGCCCCCTGAGGTGGGGTCTCTGCCCCCGAATCCGGAGCTCCTGGATGGGTGCAGGTGGCCAGCTCAGGGAAGATGCTGACCGGCAGCTAGCACAGGGGCAAGGAGAAAAGCCTCAAGGAAAGGCGCCCGGCTTCCACCAGCAGAGGGAGCTGTGGGCCTTCAAACCACCTGGCTGCCCTCAGCCGGCCTGCCAGACCCAAACGAAGGGATTTCAGAAGGCTCTCCCGGGGGCCCGCACTTGGGTGTGCAAAACTCTGCGTGCTGTTTGACAACTGTATACTTCTTATCAAGCAGTTTTACAGGTTGTCAGCTCTCAGCCTTCCTATTTTTCTCTCTTTCACCCACTCTGTGATCGTCCCGGGCTCTTTCCCTTGACAAGAGGGTAACGGAGACAGAAAGGATGGAGTCAGAATTGGAGCTCAAAAAGGGGCCTCTGGACCACCCCCCTCCGCAACCCCACAAGCTCAACCCCTCTCTCCTTTTTTCAACCAGGAAACAGCCCTAGGGAGGTGAAAGGATGTGTGCCGGCTTTGGGGAGCCAGGTACTAAGAGCCGAGATCCGTCTGCTAGCTGTTTTGATGCTGCTCTCAGTGTTCACTGGAGGAGGGGTCCTTTCCTTGGAGGGGCCCTAAGGGAGCAGCTAACATGATTTCCTCCTTAATGGTGGTTCCATGCATGCTAGGATTGCTAGTTCCAACCTCAGGGACCCCCGTCTGTCGGTAACCTGACCCTCATGTGAAGTCCTGCTAATAAGCTTTTGCTGCCTGACAGGAGGCAGTAAGCCAGTCAAACATTGGGAGGCTGGAGGCCACCCAAAGGGCCTTTGGGGAGAGGAGTCTGTGCTTCCTGCCCTGCCTTCCAGAGGAAAGGCCTCGTGAGGGGCTTGAATTCCAGGTGCTCGGGGCGGGCTGCCTGTCCAGGCGTGTAGACACTGTGCTGGACAAAGCAGGACTACTGTGACCTCGCCAGACATCCCTGGTATGGGCCGCTGCACTCTTGCCCTTCTCTGTCTCTGGTTCTCGCTCTCTGGGTTTCAGGCACCCAGGGATGGAGCAGGTACAGGGCACCATACCTGGCTGCTTGGCTGGCTACTGGCACCCCGTGAAAACACTCAAGAGAGCGGCAGCAGCAGTGACCGTCCAAGTCATCCAAGCAGGGGCACCCGATGCTGAGACTCACTAAAGCAAACAGGAAGGGAGAAGATGATGGCCTTTTGTTTCTATGGAGACAGCACCTTGGGGTGAGGAACTAAAGGAAGAGAAAGCTTCTATCTCACCTCCAGTCAGGACGTGGCAAACGGTCCCTTTTGTGGTTGGGCCCACCCCTCCCCTTCCCTTCCCTGCCAGGTGTTCACCATGGCAACCCTTCTTCCAAACAAGAGGTGCAGAGCCGCAGCAGCAGCATCTGGTGTCGGGGGAGCTGGGGAGCCCCGGGGGGATGGGACGGGCCCAGCTCCCCCTCCCTGGCAGGACATGGGCCCTGGCCTGGCTTTGTGTCCTGGCCCCTCTACCACTTCCTGTGCCCCGGGACCACGTCATTCACCTCTCTGAGCTTCCATCTGCCACCTCCGTGGTTGTCATGAAAGCCAAGTGAGTGAGGCCGCGGCACACAGAGGTGCTCAATAAATGCTTCCTGGCCGAATGTAGCTCTAGCTCTGGCACTGCTGTTGTACCCAAATTCTCGGACACTCCAGGCCTGTCCTAATTCTAAGAGGCACAGACTTAGTGCGTCAGGCTCTGGAGCAGGGCTGGGGAGTCAGTGGAGGGGAAGACCTGCACTCCAGCCAGTGTCAGGTCAAAGCTGGGGCCTGAAGGGTACCCAGGAATCCTGAAACGCAAGGCCCTGCCATCACCTGCCTGACTAGCCAGGGAGCCTGGTCTCACGGCTGCAAAGCCCCACAGCCAAGGAGGGAGACACCCCAACATGGAAACCCCTTCGATCCCAGAGATGCTGACATGAGAAAAGGTGCCGGCAGCAGTCCTGGCTGTCCCTCCCAGCCAGAAAAGGCCACTCTGGAGGCCGTTCCAGAGAAAGATAAAGGCCAGGACCTCTAGGGCATCCCAGAGAGATCCCCACCCACCCCCACATCCCAGAAAGATACTACCAGCAGGAACAATCTCTCCCAGAAGTAAGCAGCATGGCAAATACCACGTATCAAATGAACAAAGGAAGGAGCCACGTCCAACTTTTACAAAAGAAATGAGGAAAAGTGGGTCAGGGCATTGGTGGGGTGTGTCTGACCAGGACAACACCTGATCCGGCACGGAACGAGAAGCTGAGGAGGAGCTCTAGGTTCAGAGGCGGTTTACAGGGGAGATGCTTCCCCGGCCTGTGGTACTAGTAACAAGAAGTACCCGACGACTGCCGTGCCCAGCACTGTCCTGAGCACTTCATGTCCTCGGAGCAGCTGGGCCAGGCAGGATCACTCTCCCCCGCCTTTGGAGAAGGGGAACCTGGAGCTCTGAGCTGTAGTGCTGGCCCCAGGCCACACACGGGCAGAGGCCAGAGCGGGATGGGGACACGGGAATGGTGGGGCCGAGAGCTCTATGCTCTCCTGCCCGGAGGCTGCCTGTCCGCAGGCTCCGCAGCTACTAGAGCAGGGCCAGAGGCCTGGGGAGCCCTGGGCCTGGGGATGGTGGCGGACGACTCACCTGAGATGTCGGCACTGGAGCCCGCGTTGGGCCTCTTCCCCGACATAAACTCCGCTTCAGCCAAGGCCTTGGGGGAGAGGGCGCTGGCCGTGCCGTTGGGCGCCGCGGGCCTCTTGGACCGTCGGCTGAAGATCCTGCTGCTGAAGCGCCTGCCCTCCTTGGCCAGGGTGGCCTCCCCGTTGGCGGCTTCTCCCTTGCTGTGTCGGGCAAGGGCCTCTCGGGGTCTGGACTTCAGGTCCGTGTGCGGGTGGGAGACCCCCCGGCCGTCCCTCCGACTCAGTTCTCCCAGGGGCACTGGCTCCACGGGGGGCAGCACCTGCTCCAGGGTGGCCAGGTCGTGCAGGAAGCTCTCCAGGAGCCGGGCCGACTCGCCCTTGCTGCCCTCCTCCTGCCCCTCGGCGCGGCCGCTGGCCTCTTGCTGCTGCCGGGCGGCCCAGCGCATCATTTCCCCGGGCGGGGGGCGGCTGCCCGCCACCAGGGCGTACTTGGGGTTGATCAGCTTGCGCGCCACGGTGGAGGAGTAGTGGAGGCCAGGCCTGCCAGCGCCTCCTGCCAGGCCCAGCTGCTGGTACAAGTTCACTTCCTCAGAGATGGCGTACAGCTCCCGGAACTCCACATCGAAGGGCTCCACGTGCTGCCCCGTCAGGAGGAGGAGGAGGTTCCTGTCCACGTGGGAGGAACTCCAGGTGAAGCTAGGAACACAGGGGCAGAAAAGCAAGACACGTGGTGCCCAGGGCTGCAGCCTCGCCCTGCCAGCCACTGCCTGGCTAGCCCATCTCAACACCCCCACCGCCCGGCCCAACCCGATCCAGCAGGGAGGCCGGACGCCTTGCTGCCTTTGTGCCGGCTGTTTTCCTTCCACAGACCCAAATCCTCCCTTGGGTCCGGGTCTTGGCCTCATGTGCAGTAAAGCAGGCAGTGGGTGCAGGGCGAGGGTGAGAGAAGTCAGGCCTGGATCCAAACCTGCTTTCTGCCCTGCCTGCCTTGTAAAACATGAGGCGTGTGGTCAGAGCCGTTGTGCGGCTAAAGTCCAACAACGTCGTGTACAGAAGGTTTCTCAGTTCTTGGCACAAACATACATTTAAAAGTAGAATCTGCAGCTGCCACTACTGTTACTAGCATTTCATTTCTTATTAGTTCTTCTCTGAATTTTTAGAGCACATGGCATCTGCAAATCACCATACTTTAAGAGGGCTGATGCCATTTATTAATTGTTCCATCTGCTGGGGTCTCTTCCAGCCTCAAAATGCAGCCTGTTGTTGTGGACTGTGGAAGGCAGGCAGTGCTGAATGCTCAACAGAAGTTGACCATCTTTCTCGAATAGTCCATCAACCAGAGAGTCTGAGGGAAGGGGTTGGCCGGGGGGCTATTCTTTGCCATCAGAATAGACAGTGGCTCTTAGACTTACGACACTTAGGACCATGGAGGCTCCAGTCTAGCATCCTTCTGAACGTGAACATTTCTGACCAAGAACAAAGACCGCCCCCCCGCCCCAACTCACCTGAAGGATCCAGTGGCTACTTTGTCCCCATCTACCATGAGGAACTTTGATGACAGGGTCCCCTTGATCTTCCCCATGGGCATGTAGAAGCCCACACCTGTCACAGAGCGGACACGGATATTCTGTTGGGAAGAGGAGAAGGGCACTGTCACTCAGGCTGGGGGCCTAGAAGCTCTGTGCCGAGTATCTTCTTGGGCAAAGGATGAACCCTCTTGTCTATGGGGTCCTGCCTGCTGGCTCTTGTCTGCACTTGACTCTGCTTCCTATGGCCCGAGGAGGTCAGCAAATCTTGCTTTGGGCACGGACGGGCCCAGGGCGGCCCTGGTCTGCTCTCAAAGCTCCTCGGCAGAGAAACACAGCCCTACCTTCAACCCTGACCGTGACTCTGCGGGCTGAGCACCCAAGACTGGGCCAGAGCCTGCCCCTTCAGCTTCAGCAGTCTTGGGATAAAATGTTAAGCTGGGTGTGCAGTTTAGGGTTATCAGTTCACGAGGCAAGGTTTTAGACAGAAGGAAGGGGGTTGTCAGTGCTGCTCACCTGGACCCCTGAACTGGGGAGCAGGCCGAGGAAGGGGCAGAGGAGGTTTCCATCCCACTTCCTTCCCACCCCCCACCCTGCCCCAGGAGTACAACTTACCCGAACACGGAAGTCAGGGAGCTCCAGGCCCTGACACATCTCCAGGAAGTAGCTCACGCCCACCTCGTCCAGGATGATGTACACTGGGACCCGGCGCTTGGAGGCGGCATCCACAATGTCTTGGAAGATCTCGCCATCGGTGAAGAGGTCCATAACCACAGCAATGACCTGGACAGGAAGGGGTACTGGTAAGGCACGTGGTGACTGCACCTCTAGAGAGTCACGCCGTGGCCTGTGGAGGACCAGCGGGGCTGGGGTAATTGGTGCCCAAGAGTCAGAAATGCCATCTGCACCCCCCCGCACCCTCTGAGCACAACTGAGCAGATGGGCGCTCTGCTCTGGGAAGTGAAGATGGTGCAGAGGGTGCTGGCCATGCATCCTTGACAAATCCCCAGTGCCTACCCTGGGGATTTCCCAGCAGCTCTTCAGAAGCTGTATCAGGGGAGATCTAGGAGGCTGAGGAGAGCTGGTCCTGGTGTCCTTGGGAAATAAGCAGGCTCAAGAGGCTGCAGTCACGGAGAGGCGAAGGACGGACCAGCTCCACAAGCTGCAGATCTGCTCAGACACGACTTTCTCTGCAGACCCGAGCGCTTTGGTGTCCCAGCAGCTGCGCAAAGCCCTGCGCTTCCCTGAGCACAGATGCGGGCAGAGCTCCAGTTGGCTCAGGCTCCCTTGGCCTCCAGGGGTCCAGCCATCCTGCTCCATCCTCAAAACAAGGTCCCTGCCTCTGCTGGCTGTTTAGTCACTAAATCGTGTCTGACTCTTGTGATCCCATGGACTGGAGCCTACCAGGCTCCTCCGTCTGTGGGATTCTCCAGGCAAGAATACTGGAGTGGGTTGCCATTTCCTATGCCAGGGGATCTTCCCGACCCAGGGACCAATCCCAGGTCTCCTGTATTGCAGGCCGATTCTTTACCATCTGAGCCATGATTTCCAGAAGCCAGTCTTGATTAGTCATCCTGGGAAGGAAGGCCTTCTGCAGCCCGAGGCACTTTGCCTTTCTTACCTCAGCCGCCTCACTTTCCTACACAAACAAACCTTGTTCCAGGACTTCCCTGGCAGCCCAGTGGATAAGACTCTGTGCTTCCACTGCAGGGGGCACTGGTTTGATCCCTGGTCAGGGAATTAAGATCTTGCATGCCATGTGGTCAAACAAACAAAAAACCCTTCTTCCACTCCAGAGGCAGGGTTTTCTTGCTGGCCCCAAGCACTGTGTCCGTGATGCAGAGGAAAGGGCATGCTTTGGGGTCAGAGAGATCTGATTATAACCACTTTCCATTCCTGTAACCTTAGGCAAGTCCCTTAACCTTGATGAGCCTCTGTTTCCTCATCTGCCAAGTGTGGATACTCTGTACCTGGTACATTTGGCATCAGGATTAGCAATGACATCTGTAAGCATCAAACACAATGCCTCAATAAATGGTAACCACTGTGTGATCAAAGGAGGCTGCTCATGGTTGTAACTGAATGCCCGAACTCTGAAGTTGGGCAGACCAGGCCTGGTACACCAACGCCACTGCTGACTCATCAGTGCCCAGCTTCCTTGGCAGCAAAATGGAGCTAATAGTAGCACCTGTCTCAAAGGGCTGTTGAGAAGGCTTAGGGAAGTAAACTGTGAAAGCATTTAGCAAAGTGCCTGGCACATGTTAAACTCAGTAAGTGCATCCTCCGCCACCGTGACCTTCATGTGTGCTCTGCCATTATCTTTCCCTCTAAAGACCACCCCCAACACCATTTATGCAATGTTACAGAAGGCTCTGCTTAGCGCCTACATTTACTGTTTTTTTAACAGTATAATTGCTTTGGGTTTCCTTGGTGGCTCAGACAGTAAAGAATCTGTCTGCTAATGTAGGAGACCCGGGTTCAATCCCTGGGTCAAGAAGATCCCCAGGAGCAGGGCATGGCAACCCACTCTAGCATTCTTGCCTGGAGAATTCTACGGACAGAGGAGCCTGGCGGGCTACAGTCCATGGATTTGCAGAGTCAGACACGACTGAGCAACTCACACACACACACACAATTGCTTTACAGAGTTGTGGTGGTTTTTGCCGTACAACAATGTGAATCAGCTACATACACCTCTGGAGCCTTCCTCCATCTCTGTAGGTCCTCACAGAGCACTGAACTGGGCTCCCTGTGCTAGACAGCAGCTTCCTGTTAGCTATCTATTTTACACACGGCGGTGTATATATGTCAACACTCTCAATTTGTCCCACCCTCTCCTTCCCCAGTGTCCACAAGCGCTCTACATTTAATACTCAATCATTCACAGAAGTAACATTTGCTGAGCCCCACTGGCAGAGGGAGGACCTAAAGACAAATCAGCCGTAGTCCCTAACTTCCAGGGGTTAATCCAGTTGGAGTCATAAGACATCCACCCAGAACAATACGACATAAGGGAACACGAGATAAATGCCTTACGAGATGCACAAATGACACACGGCGTGAATTCAGAGGAGGAGTGGGAGGAAGAGGAGGGATTTAGGGAGGGGGGAGTTGAAGCACTACTTTCAGTCAGGGGAGACCAGAAAGGTTTCACCAAGGAAGCAGACAACTGAAGAATGGCAGCCTTGGGCACCATGAGAAATGAGCAGAGAATAAAACCAAGCGGGGAAGCGGGAAGGGCTGCCATGCATGGGTAAGGAGGTTGTGCACTGCACCCCGGGCTGAAGGGGTGAGTGGGAGCTGAGCCTGCTGAGGAAGAGAGGCCCCTTCTAATCTGCACACGGGTGCCACCTGGGCTACCCAGGGCCTAGGAGGCGAACGTTCCAGGCAAAGGACAGAGCACAAGCAAAGGCACTGAAGACAGGCGTGACTGGCAAAAACAGGAGATACAAGTAAAATCTGAATGAGAAAAGAGAAACAGCCATAGACATGTTAGGGCTTCCCTGGTGCTTCTGATGGTGAAGAGTCTGCCTGCAGCACGGAAGACCTCGGTTCAGTCCCTGGGTGGGGAAGATCCCCTGGAGAAGGAAATGGCAACCCACTCCAGTATTCTTGCCTGGAGAATCCCCATGGACCCAGGAGCCTGGCAGGCTACAGTCTGTGGGGTCGCAAAGAGTTGGACAAGACTGAGCGACTAACACTTTCGCTTTCACAGATATATTCACTTTTTAATAAATTCTTACTATTCAAGAAAGGGTAAAAATGGTAAAAAAGAATAGGACCATATACACATTGATGAATTTGAAAATGATGTGGTTAAGTCATAAAAGTGAACTAAACATATCAACTATATTTCAAGTTTTTAAAAAGCATAATCAAGTAAGGTTTATTCTAAAAATGTAAGGATTATTCAACATCAGAAATATATTAGTTTATCATATTTACAGTGTAAAAGAGGGAAAATCATATATTACCTTAAGTTTTTAAAAAAGTATCTGATAACACTATTTATGATTAAAATTCTCAAAAAACTAGGAATATAAAGAAACTTCCTTATCATGATAAAGGCTAGCTACTAAAAAACCCTCTTGAAACATACTTAAACTTGCATTCCCTTTAAATCCTAAGCAAGTTGAGAATATTCACCTATCACTACTACTGTTCAGAACAGTTCAGCTGTTGAACTGCTGTTGTACTGTAAGTCCTGAACAATGTGATATGCTGAGAAAAAGAAATGAGCTGGAAGCACTAGAAGAGACAAAACTATCAGTATTTAGAGATGACATTTTTATTAAAAATCCAGCAGGATGCAGAGAAAAACGTTTAGAAGTAGTAGGAGAATTTGGCAAAATTTCCAGATACAAGGAAAACAAAAAGCAATGGAATTCTTCTAATATAGCAATGATCAATTTTTCTTAAAAAAAAAAAAGGAAAATAAGATCAATTCAAAATTATAATTTAAGCGGGTAATATTTAGGAATTAATACCTCTATGGAGAAACTTAGAAAATTCTATTAAAGGACAGTTAAAATTATTTGAGTAAATAAGATAAATCATGTTCATGGATAATAAGATTCAATCTTTTAAAAATCCAGTCCTCCTATTAATAAGATCTAATACAATTCCAATGAACAGTCAGTAAATTTTTGTTTGAGGTGCTCAGATATTTCAAAGATGTGAGGAAGAATGAAGATCCACAATAGCTAAGTCAATTTTGAAAAAGAAAAGCTAAAAGGGCACACTTGTCCTACTAGATAATAAGACATACTGTAGCATCAAGGTAATAAGAACTGTGGTACTGAGGTAGGAAAGAACTGACAAATAGACCATGGAACAGAATGGAGAGACCAGAAATATATACAGACCTACACACATGCATAAACTTTAAGTCTGGTAGAGGTAGAATCACAACTCAGTGGAGAAAGGATGCTACGTGCTATTGGGACAATCGTCATACTAAACAGAGAAAAACAAAATGGAGCCCTGTCTCATACAATGCACAAAGGTGGATTTCAGGTAGGCTGTACCACCTAAATGTGGAAGATAAAGCTAATAAAGGAATTCATGAAATGTAGGAAAATATCTTCCTGACATAGGTAAGAAAGGATTTCTTAGGATTCCAAAAGCATGAATCATAAGACAAATAAAAATTTTAAAAACGCCTTTAGCAAATTAGGGATTTTCTCTTCAAAGAAAGATGTCAATAGACAAAGGGAATTGGAAGTGACAGAAGATACCTGCAATGTCTACAACCAAAAGAAATTAATAACATACAAGAGATTCCTGCACATCAGCAAGAAAAAGACAGAAGATTAATTAGAAAAATGGGCAAAGGCTATGAATAGGCAGTTCCTTGAGGAGAAGATACCTGAATGGCTAATAAGTATATAAAGAGAAGCAGACCTCATAAGTAATCAGAAAGATTCAAATTAAAGCCAAGAGATAGTAATAAGAGTAAATGCAACTTTAAAAAATTTTATCAGTTCAGTTGCTCAGTTGCTCAGACTCTTTGCAACCCCATGGACTGCAGCATGCCAGGCTTCCCTGTCCATCGCCAACTCCTGGAGCTTGCTCAAACTCATGTCCATCGAGTTGGTGATGAATAAAATAAATTAAAAAAGCAAAGAGATAAGAGAGATACCACTTTACAACATGAACTAAAAACCAGAATGCTGGACAGTTCTAAATGTTGGTGTGAGAAAAGGGGACCCTCATTCACTGTGGGGGCGATGGAACACTAGTACAGCTGTTCCTTAGGGCAACGGGCAGAGAGCTTCATGGAT